ACATCGTGGATCTTAACCAGCCGTTCTTCATCTGTAGCAGCAGAAACAGCGTCCTGGAAGAAGGCAGGAAGGGATTTAGCTGCAAATAAGACTCGATACCTGCCGCAGCGTCGTGAACCACGTGTCCAATGTGCCATTCTTCAGCAGCGAGGCCGATGCTGTTGTTCTTCGGAGAGGCGTCTGTCTCAGGAACAGACCGGCACGCAGACAGATAATGTGAGAAAGGCCAAGTAAATCAAGATCTGGGCTACTTTACAGCTTAATTGTACAGAGCAATTCCTCGTCCAGGGCGTTCAGCTCCGAATAGCATTTACTTCTAATCCCACGCCTGTTCAAGAAATCCTTGGGGAACGGTAAACCACAAGGGAATTCCTGCAAGCATCGTTAGTGTCCCAATAACCTTCTGCTGGGGCCCCAAAGGTAAAATCAATACAGTGTGGCACGGGGGACAAAGGCATAAACCTAAAGGGGAAACAGAAAAGGGACCTCAAACCTTGTGCACCGCCGCGCTTTTGAAATGGCAGGATGCTACCAGCAGCGGGAATTCGGCGTGCGGGTAGCGGACTGGTGTTAGGCTGGTCATTTTGGAGATACGCACTTCTCATCTCTCTGAAAATCCCAACTTAAGCAGAAATAAGACAAAGAAAGGCGTGTGGAAGACAGGTTCAGCTTGCTGCTGGATCCTTTTCAGTATTTCTCTGTTCAACCTGTGTAGATGAAGTCACGCTGACGCGGAAAGTGAAAGGCGTTGCCTTGTACTTACTGAGAACTTCTCGTAGAGTTGATAGGTCAGCAGGGGGTTCGGGAGCTCGCGGAAGTAGAGTTTGCAGAGGGAGCCCACGCAGTGAATGTCCTGGATGTAGATGTCCTTTGTCAAGTCAGGAATCTGCTCGGAGTCAAACTCGTGGCTGGAAACGAGAACAGAAAAATGGGCAAAGGGGGGTTGAAAAGGAGGAATGAAAATAAAAGCCAGCACAAATTACAGTCAAGAAAAGCAAGGGTTTCTTGATTTACAGGAAAAAAATAAATACTTAGTCACCAAAGCCACACGACCCATGGCTGTGCTGCTGCTAGACCGGATTTTTCCAAAATGAGATTTTTACTTTTTTTTTTTTCTAATAAGGCATTTTCAGTTAGTTTTACAACTGATTGGCTAGTCTGCAATCCCTTTTGCTGCGACAGGGCCTTTCACAAAGTCTCCAGGAGAACGTCTTCCCAGACCACGGAGACGACCTGAGCATCTCACCCCCGAGGGCTGTGACTGGGAGCTGCCCGGAGGAAGGGCGCCCACAGGTCGGAACGAAGCTGGTGTCCCTTCGCGTTTCAAAGGCCTGGAAATTGAAGTGATAAAGCAATGCCGAACATCGGCAGCTACGGCACGTGGAAACCAGCGTGTGCGGAAATTCCTTGGGGACAAGCTGGTGAGCTGAGCACGCCTCTGCTACAGGGTGAAGAGAGCCAGGAACCACATGAAGAAAATCCCCAAGCATTCCCTTGGTTTTCAGCAAGAGAAAAACCAAAATCACAAGCATTTATGAAATAAAAGCTGAGCTTAGAAGGCCAAGGGCTGGCTCGCTGCTAGACTATGTGCATGGAAAGTGCTGTTTCAAATTAGCAGGACAGATCTGCAGGGGCTAGCGTGGTGAGTCAGGCCGCAGGGAGCTGCGAGGACACGGCTGCTCTAAGCTGAAGCTCCTGGGGTCTTTAAGCTGTAAACCCTGTAAAAGCTGTAAGCTTATCATCGATGCGGAGAGTCGTCCTGTCTACACTACCACCACAACAACATCGGGGGCTTGGTGGCAACATCCCCGGCTTCTCCCCCTGCCCAAGCCAGGCAATTTGTAACACAGAAGATAAAACATGCCTTCAGCACAGCTCAAACACCGAGCTCGCCTCTCTCTGCCGACGGGACAGAACCAGTTTGTACCTGTGTCCAAGGCACCAGGCGTATTTGTACCTGCAGCGGTCAACCGTACACCCCCTGCAAGATCGGGAGGGAGCTCCTGCCCTCCGTCCGTCCGTCCTTCCCTCCCCGAGACATGAAGGCTGCGTGAGGGAAGCCACCGATACTACGCCAGGCTGGGGGGCAGAAGGGGTCTCTACTTCTCCAGACAAGAGGGTGAACAGTCCACCCCAGTGCCTCATCCCAGAGACAGCACAGAAGAGGGCAATCAATAAAGGCCCCTGCCACAAGCCTCAGTGTTCAGCATACGCCGCTCCCGCAGGCACGTTCTGACTCATCACTTACTCATATCTGGGAGAGAAACCTATTTTCTGCGCTTGGCTCCACAGAAGAAGAGAGAGCTCAGAAGGGAGATCAGGGAAAGACACCAGCCCACCCCGTACAAATACACTCAGCCTTGGCTGAATTCCTCCGGCCGCATCCTGCCCTACCCCAGTACTCCTGGTACTCCAGGATATTTTTCCTAGGAATAAATCTCACGCCACAACAGAGACCTACCCCTGCAGAAGCAGAATACGGAGCGAAGAAAGGGAAGCCCTACTCCATTCAGCCTTCCTTCTCTCTGCACTGGCTGTTTGGAGAAACTACGTGTAATTTCCTTTGACCCCAAAGGAAGATTTTGTTAGTAGAAGAATACAACTCTCCAAACAAGCCGGAGCCAGCACGCAGGGCACACATACCAACTCAACACTCGCTGTTTTGCCTACCAGCCAAGTAAAGGCGGCTACTGCACTACTGAAGAGCCCGCCTCCGTCCTGGAGTAAATCTCCCACGTGGAACAAATTCTCTAACTTTCTCTCCAACCAAAAAGCCCTTTAAATCCGGGAGATCCAATTCTTCTATGTGCAACTTAAGAACAGTGACTCACGTATAAGGATACTGCAGCCCTAGCTTTGAAATAAGCCTAATGATCTGTTTATATAGCTGGAAACTACAACAATGCAACGTGTCCTACATTAATCAAACACTTATGAAAATCTGTAGTGATTTAGATGAACAACAGGGACAGTGTCTACAAGTTATGTCAGGTACTCCTTTCCTTTTGTCTTTGGAGCGTCTCAGAAAATTGAAATATAGGCTGTCACTTCATTCTCTGTACTATACCAGGGAATTATGCCATTAAAGTTTTAGACAACCATTTTTAAAGCACCTTTGGAAAACAGGGAAGGTGAAAATGTTAATGCCAAGGGAAAAAATGGACTAGGGCAGCGATTAGAAAGACGGTGCTGCACAAGTCAAAAGGGGGAATTAAAGGGATGTAACTGAAGCAAGGGCAAACATTTTATTCAGCCAAGACTGCTGCGGGCAACAGCTACAATCAGAGGCTTTGGAGCCTGCATATCAAAGCCTCGGGAGCAGGTTTTTAAAATGGAACTTGCTGTGATGAGAAACAGGATTAAGCTGAACCAGAATAAGCCCATCCATACAGTAACTGTACCAGCTCCAACCTGTCCACTGAACTTGGGAACAGGATATCCTTCATATGGAAAATACCCCTTTGCTGCCTCTGTGAGGCCGTGGGCCTAGGATCAACGCTGGAATTAGTCACATCCCACTAGGTTCTCTCCGTCCCTTCACAACAAAAACCGCATACCAAATGACAGGAGGAAAAACAGCCTCAGAAAAGGATAAAGACCATTTACTGGGATGAGAACAGCTCCTAACTGGGGAGGACACACACCTAGCCTTTCCCTGCACAGCCGCGCAGCGTGGCAATGCCACCCACCAAGAATTAGGCACGTATTCTTTGCATGTTACCAACTAATTGCTAATCTGCCAGGAGTCCCAAGGAGCAAGGAGAACTATCAGCTGCTCAAAAGGGCTCCGGGAGCAAGAGGAAACAGGAATGAAATGTGACAGCACAGTGACACCGCGATCCCAGAGCCTTCCGATACTCTATCCTGAAGGAAAACTTCCTGCAAAATGAATTCTACTGAACAGCCCTGCGTTGCTCCAAAACGGTGGCAAACCCAGCGTACCATCCATCGAGTACAGACCGCACACCCGCGTGGGAGCTGCTGGAACAGCCTGCCCTGCAACCCCCACAGCGAACGCCCGGCCTTTGAGCCCAGCGCGTGCCTCGCTCGTCCCGCGCAAACAGGTTCGTCATACCCAGCGCCCTTACCGTAGTTTCTGGATGTTGGACGCAATCCCAGACAGACGATATATTCCATCCACAATGCCATGTTTCTCAATGAATTCAGTGCAGCTCTTGAGGACCTGGGGGACTAAAGAACAAGTGTTGCTGGTTAGTTGAGCATGTTATTAAAGTCCTAGTTCAGGTTGCGGTCTTGTCAGATGCCATAAACTAAGCCCAGCTGGGCTACTGCTTTCGTTCTTCCTTAGAGGAGAAAGCCTGTAAGAAATTTAACGTTAGGAGTTGGTGTGGACACTGGTCAGAGGCGTTCTTTGTGTTAAAGAAATGCCAGGATATGAATCAGGTTGAAAAAAGTCAATTCTGGTCAAGCAGAGACAGTGCAGGTCCCATCACAACTCCCACAAGAACTCTGGTGTTAAATTCCATTCCCGAAGAGCTATAAAATTGAGTGAGTACGCTCTCTTTGGCCAAAGAATTCCTTTGTTTTCAAATCTATACAGGATTAACCTAGACTGCTCGGTTTAAGCAAATGTAAACATTAAGGAGATGCTACTTTCTGCACCAGGGCCAGGGGAGTTTTTACAAGTGATAATTTCATCCCCAATGTCTACCGGAGCGTGTCTGGATTTAGATAGCTACACAACGTACCACACTCACAGAAACTGCAGACAGACCGGGGTATGACAGAATGGAAAAAATAACCCCAGAGGATATAATTAGGTGTCAAGTTAATATTCAAGCCGCTTCACCAACCGATTCCTTCCAGTTGACTTCTCAGCCTCATGCAGCAGCCACTGCCGGAGCTATCTGTCCATCCTTGTAAGCTTAAGGAGGAGCAAATTACTTTATTTATAAAAGGGAGATAAAACTGCCCTGAGCACTGAAAGAAAATTAGGATTGAGCTCTTGTGAGCATCAGCAAATCTTCATGGGAAAAGCTCAGATCCCCATGGATTCCTCTGCAAGCCACCTTTTTGCTGCAGCTCCTACGATGAACTAGATTTATTCTTACATTAGATGCCAGGTCTGATCAATTTGCCCTGTGACACAGATTCAGAATAGGTCATGTGGCAAATCCCCTCCTATCAAGCAGCAAATGCCATCTGCCAGTCAGTCCTCCTAAGTGCTGCTGCACCTAGATGCTCTGCGCTTTCCCCTCCCCAGCCGCTTCGCTGCTTTTTGTCCGGCTTGCAGCAGGCGCTCACGCAGCTAGAGCAAAGACTCGTTTTAAATGGTTCCCTGGAAATCGGGAGGTGCGCCCTGGGCTAAGGGCACATCTGCTCCGGACTCGAGCACAGGGCAGAACAAAACCTGAAAATCCGCGTGGCACGTCAGTCATGCAGGCTCGGCTACAGGAGTAACCCACGACACCCAAAGATACCAAGAGACAGCCAAAACTGAGTCAGCCAGACTCTAGTGTTATGCTACTAGGCATTTACAGCATCTTACGCTGTTTTCCAAAGCAAGGTGCAGGCTTTGGGGCAAGCAGAGCCCTTGTACATTAAGCAACAGCATAGAAAGAGCCTTGGAAACCAAGTGCTGCTTTTTCGGGGGAAGGAAAACCAGCAGAGGTGCAATGGAAATTTCAACTTCCACTAATGCAGCCAGAAGACATTTGCAGAAAGAAACCTCAGCATCTGCTAAAGGTACCTCTCACAGCCTTGAGCAGCACCACATTTGTTGGCGTTAGGAATCGACCGGACACGCATTTAGGCACCTGAGCCAGGATACGCAACAACTTCTCACCGCTGAGTGAATACACATTTGGAGAGCAGGTTGGTAAAACGCGGATCAGGCATCCACAACACTGTAAGCTACGTGTCCGAGAGCAAAGCAGGTGGGACAGATGGTCCTAAATTCTAATACTGTTTCAAAAAACGTTTTTGGAGGACAACGCTTACCCCTTCACACAAAAAGATTCAACGCCTCTTGAAGAAGAAAGTTTTAAAGGCTTTACGCGGACAGGGAAGGAGTTATCTCATACTCAAGCAGTTGCCAAAAAGGGCTAAAATACGTTTTGCGTTGCAAACGGCGTTAGGGGAGAGTGTGACCCCGGTGTAAATCGGTGCAGAAAAGCAGAGAGATGAGAACAGCACCATCCATTGCAGCGAAGGCGAAGGACAAGGCTTTAGATGCTGACGCAGCGGTGTCTCTTCTTCTGTGAGGCAAGAGAGCACCCTCGATTGTAAGACACACTAGACTCATGCTCATTTGGGCTTCACTGAGAGCCGAGCAAGACTACGTGAGACGCCCACCTGAGTCCTCTGCCCACCGCCGCCCGTTACAGAAGGCGAGAGGACTGAGCGAGGATGCTGGGCTCCGCGCTGCTTCAGCGGCGTTTCCTTCTGCCAACCGCCCGGCTACAAGAGTCGCAAAGGATGGGGTGAAGGAGCTTACCCAAGTTTTAAAGTCTTGTGGCAAGATCTGCTAAGGCTTAGCTGCAAAATCCCAAAGACTTTAATGGTCCATACTGGAATCTCAATAGGGGTCCCCCTGAAATTAGTAACACCCATTGAAATAAAGAAATAAGCAAATAAATAAATAGCACATTCCCTGCCTGCCTAATTCCTACCAAGGAGGCTGAGACCGAGAAGGGAGATGCACAGAGCGCGCGGGGAGCCGACAGACAGCTCTCCAGTTTATCCACACCACGGACGCGGCTAGGACACCCGCCTCCTACTTGAAGGGCTGTGCCACGGGGAGCGCGCTCTGCGTGCTTCCAAGGCCTTATCCTTCTGGGGTTTATCTAGCTGTGCAAACAAACAGCCTGGTAAGAACGGTATTTACCTACCAGTTCAGCGGAGCAGCAATCTTTTGTGACAATGTGAATCCGGCCAAGGGAGAACAGGGGGGAAGGCGAGGGATGTAGCACCGTCAATACCTTCCTAAAGTAGTTATTTGTCATGGAAGATCTTGGGCACAGTTAGAAGAATTAATATAGGCTGAAAAAAATCTAGCAGGCTTGTTCTACGCATTTCCTAATCTGGTTACCAGGACGATCTGTTCTTTAAGCTAAATATATCATGCCAGCACCACAGATATTTTGGGGGAATTCTGCATGGTTGGAGAAGTGACAGAAATTCAAGTAGGGCTACAATTACACTTGAAGGCCCTTTGCTGCAACGGTGACTTCATTTTTCAACGAAGATGACACCTGACAATTACGTGCGTGCTTAACCTCCCTCTCCCCTTTGAATCCCAAGCCCTTTAGCTAAATGTACATTTATACACATGCATACACACACTTATGGAGGGAACAGCGTCTATGACCACCGGAATAAAATGGCAGGACGACAGCACAAGCTAAGGCTTAATTTTGCAAATGTGAAGTGTGCCAAGACCACCGCCTACGGGGGCTTCTGACATCACGGTGTGACTTTTTCAGGTACCCGTCTCTGTCCATTGCCTAAATCCCTCCCTGCTGCAGAGGTGAGCTTCTCAGTGTTCAGGCCCTGATTTTGGCTTCTAGATCCCAAACCAATTACCAGATTTGAATCAGAACGGTATCGCAGCTGCATCGCAGCGGGAAACCGATGGAGATTTCTTCTCACAGGATGCAGCAGCACCTACACTAAAATTCTATTAATGTTCATTAATTACTGTGGTTTCCTGCAATTATAACAACCAGACTTGATGACACAGGTGGTTTCTATTAACAGCCATAAAGTCACACCTAGCTCAGCACCCCTCTTCCGACAACCGCCACGAGCAGGCCGCTTTGGGAAAGACCCAAGGAGGGAACAAGCCCCGGGTAACATTCCTCCAGCCCCAACAATCCTCTGTGCCCAGAACTGGCGTCTGTGCTCGTTAAACCCAGCACACAGCCCTTTCCACGTTCCCAGGCAACTAACAGATGCGCACTAATACTCACTGTTGGTTTTATTCCTTTTCGGAGCAACACAGCCTCCAACCACTGACTCCAGACAATCTCTCTGCAGTGAAGTCCCTGACTCAGCGGCAGCCTGCTAAAACCCACTGGCAAGTGCGAGATTTGAACACCTACCCCTTCGTGAGAACCTGAGCACCGTACACGTCTCCCGTTCCAAAATCGGTTGCCTTCCCCCATTCCCGCCCGCCCTTCGCTGTCTCAAATAACAGGCATTTCCAGGAAACAGGGCGCGAAAGGCTGGAAACGTGGAGGCATCAACACAGGAGACCCCAGCACATTTCATCACTGTAGCAGCTAAAGGAGTTTCTTCAACCCATTCCTGAGCATCTCTCAGCTGGTTTGAAAGGTTTATTGCATCTCCTAGGGCTCGTTAACTGCTTAATTCTTTGCCATTAAGAGGAAGCAGAAGTTTTATGGTTTTCATTCTGAAGAACGTTTTGATTCATCTTGAAATCAGGCACATTTCATTTCCTATCATCTTGGGTTTATTTTTTCTTTTTTAGCCTTTTGTAATGTTCCCTCCTTGGGTTTTGGGAGGCTTGCTTTATTTTTCTTTTTATTTTTTTTTTTTTAATTTTCTTAGTACGTTGCTGGAATCAGAACTATTTGTTCAGCCTGGGGAACGAGGCCTCCCATCAAGCTCCCCTCTAGCAGCGTCGTTTTCACAATATTACAGCAGTAAGGTGAACTGCCGCGCAAGCCAGGCCTCTTGGCTGGTTAATGGACCATAGCAGGCTGAAATGCAGCTGCTCAGCTGAATTCCACACATAGCGAACGCACGGGGAAAGCCAAACCTGCAGCCCAGCAGGAACAAGGAAAATGCAATAAACTGTCCCGAGCGCCGCGCTGCACCGCCTGAACAAAGGCAATAACCACCGCTAGCAAGAACGTGCACCGATGCTTCGGAAGCACGTGGGAAAAACAGAGCTGAGCGAAGGAATGTAACAGGTTAAGGGCTAGAATATACATGTAAACAATCGGCCACGAGATAAAGTTTAGGTGGAGGCAGCTCACTCTTAATTGCCCAGTCTGCCTCTATAACTGGTGAGGAAGGATGGGGACGTGCAGAGGACAGGGCGCCCAGTAACCCCCAGTACTATGCAAAAGGTGCGAAGTACATTATGGGCGTGCTCCCGTCTTGAGATGTGGTGACTAGCCGAGGCTCTGGCAACTTCCAGACATCTGAAATTAGCCAAATAAATCCTGTCTCCCTTGCTATATTAACGTATGGTTTGGTAAGAA